CTTATGCACGCCAACAGTGCCGGCAATTCTTGCGTTGCTTAATTATTGATCAAAACTGTCGTAAACATCTATATTTGAGTGATTCTGTGGTGTCCGTTGAACAGTGACTGAAATCTTAATCTGACTCCATGCATGCCTCGTAACTGCAGGATAAATATTCATTAGTGGAATCAAATTATGCTAATTAAAGCAAATAAATAATTGCTCGAAAACATAGTTAGCAGTTGTCGTTCATAGCGACTATTTTAAACGCGCTGCTTTAAAGTATCTTGATTCAAAACTGGTCAACCCTGGCACCTTAAACAGCGTCATTGTTGATTCAGAACCTAGATGCTATCTGAGTCACATTCAGAAGCTTTGTTCGGCTTCGAGCAGTCTATTATTTATGCTTCCTTCATTAGCTAATTATGTTCATTATGTTTTGGGTACCACCACAGCGGCTACCGAAAATAAAGCCAATGTCAGTGCTCCGCTATGACATCGATTTCCATGACGTACGCATCTAATAGAAGCTACATAAACAATGCAACTACTGTACTTTTGAGAAAAGATTATTAGGTACTGCTGCAGTATACTTTTAAGTAACTGTAAACTTCAATATAAGTGCCGCTGTCCACGACAGAAACTTCGATTCATTAACATCTTATTCGCCTTTAGTGTGCAGCTGCTGCAATACATCACTCTTTCAAGTCAAACGGCACATAATTTCAGAAAATCGTGCCACGATTCCTAAAGCTACGTGATAAATAAAGATTTTATTCTTTCCTGGACTCATATGTCACTTGAAAATTTTTCCAGCCGAAACAGTTCCTTGCAAATCTTTCTGATCAGACATGTAACGATCAAAACTGTCGTGCATTAAGGTTAATACTGTATTGGCTGGTATTTCACCGACAATCAGCGTTTCGTACTGAAGTCGGCCCGTCGTTTCGTGATGCTTGGCAACAGGTGTCTGTTAACAACACCGACAAGTCGGTATAAACGTCCCTCATCGCCGAAGTTCCCGCCAAATTCGCTGTGTCGCCTCTGCTGAACGGGGAACATTGACGTGAACCGCGGCCCGGCCCCGACCACGCCACACGATTTATTGTTTACTCTGCATTGGCGGCCTGTTGGCGCAAAATATCGTCCGTTCGCTCACCCGGCTGCCATAGAAACATGCCGGGAACGAACCGATTCTTTGTCCCCCGTTGCCCGTTGCTGGTTCGCATCGCAGATGTCCCCGTTTTGCCGGTTCCGATCGATCGATCGATCGGCGTGATGATCGACCGTAGCGTTCCCGACGTTTTCGCAGGGCTGTGGCCCAAAACCGCCCCATCCACTCCGGACACACACTCGGGTCGGCGGCAAGCCAACAGAGTCTACCGCACCGGTCCGAACGGCTAATGATGAGTCATCCGTTGTGGCTAAGAAGATCGTTTTTGCCCCGTAGGTCGATAAACTGAATTAAATCGTTCTCGTTAAAAAAGAATGCAATTACGTCTCCACCTCTGACAGCATTAGTGCAAGCCAGTGTCATGAATCGGGTGAAAGACAAGCGGAAATATGTAGAATATCATGGCAACTACTTTTACTATGCAGTTAATATAAGTTATCAGGGGACCGTTTAGTTCCTTTCCGGTAGAGGCAAAAATGTCTGACCGGCGGTGCCAAAGGTCAACAAAATTTATTTACGAAACACTACCAAAGAAGAAGGGAATAAGAATGCTCATGTGTCCTCCGTTTCCAGGCACGCATGACTTCTTGTCACTACTATCTTCCAGTATTGTTGGACCATAATTTGTTCAAAATTAGGTCAAAATTTTTTGATCTTTCGCTTTCTGTTTCGGTTGATGATCGATGGCTATTTGGAATGACCACTGGTTTAATTCTACGCCAGATTTACTAGCATTTCATCGTAGAAAAGTGGGAATTCTGGCGACCAACGTTTCAGACGCCAACTGTAGCTTTGGCATTGCCGTATCTGGAAAATTTGTCTACAAAAACCAATCTTTAATACCTGCCTGCCTAGAAGCCAGCCGAATACTTATAGAGTTAGTAATAAATATGTTCAGCGTTATTGAAATTTATAGCAAAGACTAGAAAATTTGCAGACACCGCAAAACAGCTTAAACACAAAACAAATGATGTGGCCAACTGGTCAGTACCAGTACCGACATTTTGGCCAGTGTCTCACGAGGAAGATAAGGAAGCGAATGTGCTTCGGGAATCTGCCACAGTTGGTAAGTTTAGAAACAGAAGGCCTTCTCCTTCTCAGCACTCCACACTGGCATGTTTGAAACGTAGAAAGTCTGACGTTGGGTGTATGGATTATTTTTGTTAACTGACATGGGTTCATATATTCTCTGCTGTT